CTGAAGATTAAAACTGAACATCAAGATGTGTAGAGGAGCATATAACCAACCAGGCTACCAGATTCACTGGAGGAAAAGGATACTAAGATATACTATACCAGACTATCTGGATTAGTAATCTGGAATAAGACTGACAGTTCTGAGTTGTGGCTAGTAGAAGATGATGAAGAAGATATTGAAAAGATAGGTACCAGAGTTTGAGCGAACTTTACAAGAATAGAAATAGTGTAATGTAGTAGTTTAAAGTTAGCCTTAACTGCAAGTATTAGGTAACTATAGCATGTTATATAAAACTAGGTTAGCTGTATATGGGATATGAAAGGCTCTAGTAACAATGCTTCTGAGAATACACTACATAAAATAAGGTATAGGGTTCTAAGAATACAGATAAGCATCTAGACCTTCTCAACTGACTTACATAGTGAAGATGATCTAGCGATACAGTAAGGGTTGCAGTATAGAAGATTTAAATAAGCAACACCCCTAGTTGGGTTGCAGATATGGCAGCTAGTGTAGAACCATCGGTGGACTACTTAATTAGACACCAAAAGTGTATGTGTGACTAGTTGTACTCTCTAATGTAAGTTGACTTCTTTGAGGCCTTGGTTGTGAGTCTCTATATTCTGACTATACTAAATAAAAAGCCTTAGCTCCAAAAGAAGCTAGTTTAACAAAAAAAAAAAAAAAAAAAAAGAATTGAATGCATTGTATAAGCACAAATATATACATGTATAAATTTAGTTTATATTAGCACTTAATTAATCAATCAAATTACAGATTTTTTATGCATAGTATCAAATGCATCAATAACGTAATTCAAATTTAGAGTGCATTGTAGATCTATCAAAATTGATATCACAGATCTATCAAAATTGATACTTTTGCGTTTAAACCAAATTTTGCAAAGAGTCTATGAACATGTACTAATTACATGATATTAGCATTATGTACATGTACTGATTATATGATATTAATTATTACATAATTATTTTATAAAGTAGCAAACTTAAACAAAAATGCATTTTTCACTTTAATTATTCATATCAATCAATTCAAGCTATATACAATAAGGTACATTGATATAATAATTAAAAATGACTTATTATCTGATGATAAGATGATCCAAAACCTTTTGAATCTTTTTTGATAAGATAATTTTAACATCCTTACCCAGGATTTATGATGATAGTTGTAAGTCAAAAATCTGAAATGAATGATATGAATTTTAGATAATTTTTAAATATAAAAATGAAAATGTCAAATTTTATGCCAAACGATGATGTTTCAACCAATATTAGCATAAAATTTGTAATGAGTTTTTTTAGAATTTTATATTTGATAATGCTAATATCGATTAATTTATCTTTTTTTATATGTAGTGAACATTAAAAGCCACATAGTTTACTTTGAAAACTAGCTAATAGACTATGCTATGGATCAGTTTATAGACTGTTCTTTAGGACTAAAACTGGACTAAGTCATCTTATAATAAGTCATTTTCAATCACTGTCTTATTATATGCAGCTTGGATTGATTAATTAGTTAATTAAAGTAAAGTCTTCGATAATTGCATTTTTATTTGAGTTTGCCATTTCGTAAAAAATAGTTATGTAATAAATTAATATCACATGATTAGTACATATCCATAATGCAAAATATCATATGATCAGTATATGTTTGTAGATCTTTCTCAGTATTGCTATCAAAATTTTCACTTTTACATGACTGTGTTTAAAACCTTTAAATTTGTTTAAGTTAGTATTAGCATTTATAATAGAGCTAGGTTTTAGAAAGGTAATAGTAAAATCACTTGAGAAATTTTTTTTGTTAGAGCTCAAAAGGTAGTTTCTTATGCAAGTTTTTGAGGAATAAGCGATTTTTAAAAAGTAAACATTTTGGTTTGATCTTCCTAATTGTGTAATATTACATTAAAATGAAACACACTATTGGATAATCATTACATGAAAGTGAAAATTTGATGGTGATTTTGAGGTAATTGTGTTTATAGACTTTCCGCAAATTTTGTCTGTCTGTTCATTTATGTGACCATGCTATATTATGTATCATATACTAGAGTTTTGAGCCAAATTTTGGTTGTTTGTTCATTTATATGACTATACTATATCATGTGCTATATACTAGATGTTTAAGCAAAATTTTGTCTGTCTGTCTACCCATGTGATCATGCTAAATCATGTGTCACATACTAGATCTCTGAGCCAAATTTTGTCTATATGCTACATGCTATCTGTTGTTACTGCAAAAGAAAACTTTTTATTATTCAACTAGAACTAAGTGCTGCAAACATAAAATACAAAACCTATACTTTACTTCAAATATAAGAAAAATGTTTTAAAGAGAACTAGTACAAGAAAGAATCACTTTTTTTATTATATTCTAACTAATTATTATGCTATTAGACTCTAACTATAAAATTATCATTAAAATAGATTTAATTATTAACATTATATTTTTTTTATATAACTTTATAATAGTTTGATTTATATATATTTAGATAAAAATTTTATCATTTTTTATAATACTGTTAACCTGCGTGATACCTGTTACTTCTATATAAAACTTACTAAATAATAAATCCTAATGTAACAAATTTTAAATGTGATTGATTTTTAAAAAAAATTTTATATCAATATGTAAAAATTTTATTTTATAAACACATCCAGATAGTATACTTGAAATTTGAAAATTTCAGATTATGAATTCTGATTTATTGCAAAAATACCATTTCTGATAGATTGTCAGTACTGATCTTAATGGAGTTAAAAAAAGAAATTTATTGATTACTGTTCCTAATAGATAAACTCTAATCCTATTTTTTTTCATATATTTTGTAATAGTAGTATAGCATTTTAGAAGCTCTTTTTTTAGAACCTTATCAGAAATGGTATGAATCAACATTTGTTTATTACCTTATCAGAAACAGTACTGATGATCTATTAGGAATGATATTTTTGCTGATTTATTAAGTTGTTACTAAATTTTTTTTTTTACTATCATAATGATAAGCTAGTCTGATAAACAGTTTCGAATTCACATATTTTATACAGTCGACTCTGGATATAATGAACAAATAAATGAACAAATAAACATATAAATAAATGAACAGACAGATAAATAAACTTAAACTTTATATTTTCTTACTGGTTACTTTTTAAATTTCATATTTTATAAACCTGAATAACAATTATTTTATTAAGAAAAATAGTTATTTCTCTTCAGTCTTTCTTTCTTGCAGTCTCTTGAATTTTTTTATACATTGAAGTCTTTTGAGAGAAAATGAACAAAAAAGAAGATCTTTAAGTGTACAAACTTGAGACACTGCCATAAATGAAAGCCCAACTGCATATTCTCTTTCTCTGAGATCTATTTTACTCTTTGCAAGCATTAATCCTTGGCTTTTATATACTGTAATTGCCTACACAAGACAAATAGAAAGTTGTAAACATAAGCATGTTACATTTTTTAATTCTCAGATTTGCTAAATCAGTATTATGGAAACTAATCTCTTGTTTTTTATAGTTAAAATAGAAGGACCACTATAGTCTTCAAATTCAACAAGAAGTATGCTTAAAAGGCAAGAAGAAGCTTTATCTTTTTTAAACAAAATTTCTTGGATTACTTCTATCAAACGATTAACTAACTTAGCTTTAGTCTATAAGTTAGCCCTAAGCATAATGCATGTATTTCGAGTCAACAACAGATAAGACTCAAGACCTTTTGCTGTATTAAAATTAGCTTTAGATGCTTTATGGCCACCCATTGCATAGTGAGCATTGATTCTGGCAACAAAACAGTTTAATGCTCTTAGTTTATTAAAATTAATCTTATTTATATTAGTTTTCTAAGATAAAATATATGTTGCATCTAAAAATTCACTATTATCTACTCTAGGCAAATCAGCAAGCTGTGTTATAAGTGTCTTCCAGTTATCTATTGTGGACTTTTCATCATGAAGACATAATAAAATATTTTTAAAATAGCATTGGTCTTCCAAGTTTCCAGATTGACATTGAACAACATCAAGCTTATAGACCTCTAAAAATTGTTTGTATACAATAATACTATTATTTGATAGTGAATCATGTTGAAGGGTTGATGTATATATAGGATTATCAAGAACTGGTGAGAGTTGTTCAAAATCACTGTTTAGAATGACAGACTGATTACCAAAAAGTTGATCTTGTTGCTTAAAAAAAGCCTGTCATAATCACATGTTGATTAAGGTAAGTGTTTTACATCCAACTATGCTTTTTTCATCAATGATAAAATATTTTACATCTTGTAACTTATTTTGTAATTGTTTTAGATGTTCACTATTTAGATTAAAATTAGTGCAATTTACTAAAATGAAGAGTGCCAAATAAATTGTTATTTTATGAATGTTGTATGCTGTAACTCCAGTTGGTGCAAGCAAGAGTACAGGTAATTTTTTTTCAACATCATGATCTTTTGCCAATTCATTAAGCCAAGCTACAACTACTTTGATTAAATATGATTTTTCAGTTCTTGCAGTTCCTATAATGATAATTCTAAAAGATTCAACATTATTATAATCTACAGTTGCAGCAATATAATGTACCTCGATTCATTTGAATATTTTCATCTGTTTTTTATTTAAAGTTCAAAAATCTAATATATTAGTAGTTATATTCTCAAAATCTAGTCTCTTTATTTCAAACTCACTGCAAAAAGTCAACACATCTTCGATATTGAGATTATAATGACATCTTCTGGTATTACTAACCCAATTGTAGTTCTTATCTATTGCATATAATTCCAAATCTGAATAATTATCTATAATTATATATGAGCCTATTTTTGACAAAAGCATCTATTCTGATTATATTTTATTCTCATATTCACTATTCTTTTACTGTTTATCTTCCTTGTTACTAAATTTATCTTCTATATTATATATAGAGAGGTCTAGCAAATTGACAGAATCATTGTTAATCTTTGAAATATAATGCTCAAAGAGATCAGACCAAGCAGTTGTGTTATTTATAGTAAGCTGCTTAAGACTTCAGTAGCAAACATGAAGAAGAACTTTTAGGTAACAAAATTCTTCTTAATGAAGACCATTGTGTTAATGTGAAGGTTGTAGCCAAATGCATATGATGTTTTCACTTTTACATTTGCTCTATCTACCATTAAAAAACTTATATTTTAAATAAAGCTAATAAAGTGAAATATCTTCAGGTTTATTAGGCTGATTTTAATACTTTTGTAAGGATGATTTCATCATTTTTTCAATATTGTTATTTATTAAAAATTCATTCTTATTTTCAGCATTACAAAGCACTCATGAAGCATCTTTATTAAGATTTAATGATACAAACTGATAACTAGAATAGTAGAGTAAAATGCCAAGTAGAAGGTGGCAAGTTTCTTGTTTAGAAATATCATGCTCTGCAATAATATGAAGAAGTAACCTTTGAAATAAAGCAAGTAATAAATTATTAGGGTTGCTATTGCAGAAAATTCAATTCAATATTTCTGAAAAAGCTTTGAAATGCAGCTCAGATTTGCTTGCATATTTAAAGATGTACTAAAAAGCTGCATGGATGCTGAGAACTGGTTTTAAATCAACATTAGCATGCATCTCTAAAGCTGAAGTCAATTATACAAATTGATATAAGGATCATTTCTTACTATTATAAGCTCTAGATGACCATCATTATTACATATAAAGGTATGTTCTACAATTTTTTTTTAATAGCCAAATTAACAATATTGTTTACCTGCATAATTAATATAACAACAGTATAACAAACTACATCTTGTATGATGTTGCAATTTATTAATTAACTCAATATAATCTTGCAGATTATCTTGTAGTTTAGTATTACACTTCTAACAAGAATGACTATTAGGTACAAATGCATCTATTTCTAGATTAATTGTAATAACTAAAGAATTTAGATATTGAATCACTCTAACCATTATGTCATTGTTTTCTTTCATTTATCCTACTCAATTACTGGTGAATTCATTTATTTTCCAATATTATATATATGAGCACTGCTATGGTATTGCTATTCAAACCTATATCACCAATCTTCTAAATTTTACTTAGAAATTAATATGTTTTCTAAAAAAGATTTGAAATGATTTTTAAAGAATCATGCAGCTATATGAGGATTATCAATAAGGTCTTGATGTTGTTAGGATGATGAACTTATTTGATTCTCACTATGTAGCATAAGCTTGTGCAACTCTGGCCAGTATAAGTCTGCTATACTAAAAGTAAAAAATATCAGTTCTTGTAATCCCAATTGTTTAATTATATCTGACAATTCAAGCCATCTTTTGTTTCAAAACTGACAAGTTTCATATAAACTTTCTCCAAACTATATAACTTGATCAGTCAGATGATTATTACTTTTAATCATTTTCTGACCCTCTTTAATAATAAGTTGGTTTTTGTTTAAACTTTGCTTAACATACACCTTACCTTCTTGCAATGCTCTCTATCTCATTTGTGAATTTAACACAAAATATCACCAATGAGTATATTGTGCAAATCTGTCATCTTTGTATTTAAGCATATATTGGAAATATTCTGCAAGCTTTATATCTCTCAAACATTTTGAACAAAGGTTAGCTTTTTCATATGAATACAAAGTTGGAAAAACATATGTAATGTATTCAGAAGTATGAAATTTATTAATAGGATTACTATCAATATTTTGTTATGCTATCATATTCCTGGTTTGCATTCTTGCAAGAGCATTATTAATTGCATTATTTTCATAATAAGATTAGGGAGAAACTGGAATAAAGTTGCATATAATTATATTATTAGTTTCATTTTTATTATTATTTAAGGAACTTGTAAAAAGTAATTATTAATTGGACCATTTTCAATTAATGACTAAAGTGCTTTATTATCAATTTCAATGTTAGCATAATACCAATTATTTGATTTTAGCCATATAAGCATCTTAGCAATTTTAATATAGTGAACATTAAAATTTCTGAAGGCAGGTCCACTTGCAAATTGTTGATGCATAACAAGAATGTCCAATAATAATGGTTGACAAGAAAGACATATTGCAAACTCATGTACATTTTGAGGAAAGTTGATAACATTTTCTTTATATGCATACTAGCCTCTGTGAAGGCAATATACTAAGATTACAGTAAATATTTGTGTAATCAACATTTCCTTAATCTTAGTAAGATCCTGAAGTTCCTCAGGAATGTCTTCTGGGTCCATGTTATTTTTTGCTAAAAACTTTTTTGGAATGTTCTTATCATTATAATAACAATAGCATTCTCCAAGAACTTGCTTTATTGACAGAAAGCATTCATTGCATGTAGAACAAAGTTTGTGCTCAAATTTATTAATCTTATTTTAAAATTTTTGCAACAATTTATAATCAAATTCATTTAGAAACTCAATTTCAGTAGATACTGAAGGCGTACTATAGTTAATTGTAATTTTTTTTAATTTATACAGTATTTAATTTTTTTTATTAATTTTTATTAATTAACATATATAAACATTTGTTTATTATCTTGATTGTTTAAGTTTACATTAGCAATATTTAAGGCTCTTCATTGCTTTTTTTGATCTTTTTTTTTATCCAAGTGTTCTCTATGTTCTTCTGCACTTTTAGCACTTCTCTTCTTTATTTTATTACCATGATTATGAGCAAGACAATTTTGGTGTTGATTAGAGGGTTTCATTCTCACTACTTTTGTATTTTCTAAGTGCATTATGTTCTAAATAGTCTGCTATTATTTTTTTTTCTAAAAACATATATACTAATTATTACAATTAATAAGGTTATTTGTAGCCTCTTTTTTTTTACATAAAGTGCATACTTTCTATTGAAATATAACTCAATGTGATACCAATTTGCCTAAATATTCTTATTGTGATATCATATAGTTAAGCATACTATTATGATTTTTCTTAAAGTATTTAGCTTAATTACAAGCTAATTACAATTTATCTCTTAAACACAACCTGTTATGCAATCTTACAAGGCACAAGTTTGCTATTGAGCATAAAATTAAAAGAATAAAATTTATTAATTCTGGACTTACAAACCAGAATTCTAATATGAATTTTGTGATAATTCTATATATAAGCATTATTGCTTAAAAGTAGGCTATGACTTCATTAATAAACTTTTGAGTGATCATAGTTAAATTTATTAATACTAGTTTATTTTAATTATTTACTTTAGCTGATATGTGTAAAAAAAATTTTTTATTGATGTATTAAAATAAGCTATTCAAACTCATAAATATTTATCACTTTTAATTTTATTTAATTTAGTGATAAATATAAAAAACTTTTATTTTAACTATTTAAGCTTGTAAATATTTACTACTTTTAATTTTATTTATTTAAGTTAATTTTCATAGGCAGAAGTTTGTATAATTGGCTAATAAATTCAATTTAATTTTATGATTTAGAGCACTTTTTTTAAAAAAATGAAAACTAATCATAGTAGAATAAAAATGCTGTATAAAAGGTTTTATTAGAGCTGTAAGACTTTATAACCAAAAATAAGATTTAATCCTTATCCTATTTAAAAAAGTTAGTATAATAATAACTTCTCAAACCCTAATAAAATAAACATATTACTAAGTAGGATGTGGTGACCTAGTGAAGTGAATAGGTTGTTAATCTCCAAGTGGCAGGTCTAGAGTTCAAATCCCAGTGATGGCAAAAATTTGCAATTCTTTCTATGTTATGGCTAACTGTCTTTTGTGATTAGTTGGGATAGAATACCTGTAATCTGTATTATATCAGCATAACTAGAAGGTTTAGGCACTTATACAACATTGTATGAGAGAACACAAACTGGTACTGGGTGGTATAAACTCAAGATAAGTTCTTAGGCCATGTAAATCACAGGAACCAGATAGGAAGACGGAAGCTTACTTGAAAGACCCAACTAGAAAGGTAACCCAAACCTTTAACATTGTTATTATAAAAACTAGACTTATGAAATAAAGCTAGAACTTGTGAAACTGGGCAAATGTGCTGGTCTTTGAGGAGGGACCTGATGAACCAACCAGGCCACTGGAATTTCCAGGTTTCAGAAGAAAAAGGCACATGTCAGCAAACATGTAAACCAGAGATGTATAGTTTTAACCTATCTTTATGAACTATCTGGAATGGCAGCTTGGTGGAACTTAAATTAAATACCAAAGTAGTAAAGATATGTTGTGAAGTTAGTATCAGAGTTAAGGTAAACTCTACAAGGGTATAGTGGTTTAATAATATGTCCTGACCGCCAGTGTTGGTCTCGGCTATAGCAATACCAGGTCAGCTATAAGAATAGGATACAGAAGATTCTGGAAGGTTTAGTA